GGACTTTTTCTTTTTAAACATTTAACGCTTACATTTTTGAGTGTAGGACAAATATATTAAAATGTTCTTAAAATAATATTAAATCTAACTGATTTCAATTTGTTGGATATGAGATTTGCTGGTAGTTGGATAAAATCTTTAACTGAGAATTGAATTTTCTTTGGAGAAAAGTACTTTATTAAATGTCTTAGGGTTTCATTTGTATTTATTTATTGCAAGGGTTCAGAGTATTTGAAGTCCACTTAGAAGAATGGATTAGTATATATCTTGTTTTAATGAGAAACAGGGATGAAAGATTTTTTGTATCTATCAAACTTAATGGTATCCTCCTCAGCTACATGGTTTTCTGTTCTTATTACAGGAATAGCGGGCACCCTTAACTCAGAAAATAAAGTACATCTCACCAATCCACAGTACACGGTGGTAGTAGAAATCATCAAAGCTGTGTGTTGCCCGAGTGTTCTGAAAGATTACATGTTTGGAAAATACAATCTCCAGGAGGTGGTGAAGAGCCCTAAGGATCCATCAAAATTTAACCCAAAGCAGGGAAATGAGAAAGAAGCTAAATCGGAATCTGTTGACAAATCAGATCAAAAGAACCCAGCAGAAGGAAAAAACAACCAGCAGGTCATACCAGAGAATAACGAGGAGCTGGGACAGACAAAACCGATGTCTGATCCACAGCTGGTAAATGAGGGCGGAGCCAAACCTGAACTTGCAAGTCAAGTCACAGAAGGATCCAAATCAAATGGAAATGACCTCTCCTAGGAAGTCATTTGGTGTTGGAGGTGGGTTTCTCAACTGGGGTTCTACAAGATGTTGCTGGGGTTCCACCTAAAATTGTGACTAAAAATACTGGTTTTTATTTGTGTGCTGCATAATGCTGTTCTCACAGTAGCGAACAATGATTTTGTAGCCTATTAACAGTTGTGTGAGGGATCTTTCCGCCCCATATGGTAGTATGTATAGTCAGACCCATATGCTACTTTTGCACAGAGAGGAGGATGGGAGGAGGGGGACGTTGGCCTCTCCTAGGCTTCTCTTCTGCAGTGCCAGCTGACTTCTGGGAGTAAACTGACTGTGAAGTAGAAAATCAGAGGGAAATTTTCATTCTAAGGAAGGAGTTTTTACACGCCACAGCTCAGCTTTCCTCCTGCCACTTTGTTGTAAACATTGCAAAAATGTGGATCATATAAGTTAGAAGTGAATTGTTTAGTGAAGTTTGTGTACTATTGTGATTTTCTTGTTTGGTTATGTCTGTTTTTATATTTTATTAACATTTGTGTGTAACAAGCTGACGGTCCATTGCTACAATTTTGGAAGGCAAGATGTGAGAAAGAAGAGGCCCAGGCCGGGCGCGGTGGCTCAAGCCTGTAATCCCAGCACTTTGGGAGGCCGAGACGGGCGGATCACGAGGTCAGGAGATCGAGACCATCCTGGCTAACACGGTAAAACCCCGTCTCTACTAAAAAATACAAAAAACTAGCCGGGCGAGGTGGGTCGCCTGTAGTCCCAGCTACTCGGGAGGCTGAGGCAGGAGAATGGCGTAAACCTGGGAGGCGGAGCTTGCAGTGAGCTGAGATTCGGCCACTGCACTCCAGCCCGGGCGACAGAGCAAGACTCCATCTCAAAAAAAAAAAGAAGAGGCCTGTTTTAGGTGTTTTAGGCATAGAGCTACAGACATTTCTGATAAGGTTGGTGATGAAGAATTTCAGTCTTCTGAGGATACTTCAGTATACGAGTGCAACAAGGGACACAAAGAAATTCTCTTTATTATGTCTTTATAAAGAAAGCTACTTCTCAAGCGTTTTATATGGACGTGGTCCAAGCTGTCCTATCCCATTGTGCATTTTCTGTGGCATGAAACTTACAAAACTGCAGTTGTAACTATAAATCACAGCCACTTGACCAGAAAGAGTATTTATTATTTTAAATGGCTTTTGGAACATCAAAACAGTAAGGCTTTTGTTCAAAAATCACATTCAGTCAAAAGGTTTAGGAAGCAAATTATTTTGTAGCAGAACTTAGAAAAGAAAAATTTGCATGGTTGGTGAGAATCTAATAATAAAATTAAAATGCTGGGGCATGATGTAGTACAAAATTGAAAAGACTTTATTCTCAATAAGTTGAATTACTGAAGATATCTCATATGATGCTAAAAAGGTTTTGTGTCATTAACTGAAAAGCAGCAGCTTCTCTATCCAGGTTGATGAGTCAACGGGTTTCACTAGTATTTGTCATGTTGTAGCATTTGTAAGATTTATAAATGATGAAATTCAAAGAAAACTTTCTCTATTGCTAGGAGCCTCCCGAGACAAAGGCCAATCTATAATGTTGTGTCATCCTATCTTATAACCAGAGTCTGTCATCGGTACTCCTGGTGCCCCGTTGGTGATTGTCTCCATGATAAGTTTGCCTCATTAACAATGACAAAAAAATCCTGACGTTGACGTTATAACACTGCTTTCTTCACAGAGATGCTGTTATCAAAAACTTGGAGATACAGCGAAGTTCTGAATAATACTTACCTGTATCAACGACCCATTTATTTAAAAATATTTTTTTAAAAACCCAAAACAAAAACCTGGACAAACAGCACACAAATCTGCACCATACACATCCAGTGGCTTTATTAGAGGAAGAGCTCTGTACAGGATATTTGAGTTCAAAGGTGAATTGCCAGAGTACTTACAAGAAAACAGTAAGCCAGCTTTTGCTGAGTGCTGTGCTTTAAAAATGAAGAATGGCTATAGAAACTAGCCCGTGTAGCAGATATTTTTCGTCACATGAACAAATGAACAAGTTTTTAAAAGGTTCTGGAGAAAAAAACTTTTTTCCTCCTCAAGTGACAAGAGTCTTAGTTCTAAAAGGAAACTGACTTGCCACCTTGCCAGAGGAACTCTTGAAATGTTTTTGCAGCCACTTGGACTTCAGAATGAAGGGTACAACTCTCAAATCTTGCTGTATAACCCACCTGGAGGAACCACAAAATCAAATTAAATAGAATTTTCTCTCCTCTTCCCAGCGCTAGTGTATGACCGGATGAGGAAAGCTTTGTCTAAATTTGCTCAGCCTGAAATTTTGTCTCTGAAGGAAGAGAGTGAACTCAGCCCTAGTCAGACAGTTCTAGGTTTCTGTGAAATAGGAGTTTCTTCAACTTAAAGCTAACACTCACATACCATGAGGGTTCCCTGCAGGGGTTTCCTGAATTTGAAAGCTTTTTCAAGGACTATTCCTGAGTAACACAATTGAAAAAGGCTAGAAGAGACAGACACCAACAGAGTCTGTGAAGTAAACTGTCCAGATTAAGAATATTGAGGGGCTGTAAAGTTAGCTTATGGAAATGGACTTATTCTTAAATTTTAAAAAGTAGCAAAAAAGGTTAGGCTTCCCACACAGGTGGCTATGTTTATTTAATGGCTAGTGAACATAGGAATAAATTTGTACCCTCCTAGCTAGTGCTTTTGCTTGGTAAACCAGACTAGAAAGATTTGAGAGGGGCAAAGAGAATAGGCAGGACCTTCCTTCCATAGCTTTAGATTTTTAGAGTGTTAACTCTTAATAATGTTGTAGTTACCTTGAAAGGATTGATAAGAGGATTATTAAAAGTGTTTAGGTAAATAGGGAGGATAGGATTTTGGTGCCTTCTTCAGTAGACTTGCTCTAAGACAAAGATTCTTTTGATAGTACAAGACCAAAGGACTCAGAATAAAATTGGCCGTTTGCCTACAGAACATACAGCTCTGTGGAACTGAGTTGTTTTCACTTTGTGAAAGCTGCTACTCTGTGAAAAGATTTTGATTTTATAGTTTATTTTTAATTGGCTTTTATATTTATTTGTATTTGGTAAGGCTCGGTTGTTATACAAGCTGTTCTTTCCCAGCTATAAAATCCTCATTGAAAGACTTGTTTTCAGGTTTATCAACTATTTATTTTTACTGACATTTGAGCATGTTATTTGGTAAATGATGAGATTCCAGGGTAGGAATCGAGTGCCTTTTTGCCCCCCTTTAGTTTTTTCTTTCAAAAAATTATGTCAGTTTAAAAAAAAAAACTGTAGTCTTGTGGTTTAGAAAATTTGCTTTGCTTTATAGAGGAAAGAATGTTAAGCTTTGTATTTTAATATGTGTTTCTCTAAGGTTAAACATAGTTTTCAAATGTTATTTTTACTTGTATTTTGCTTTTGGTATGGCCAAATATCAAGCTTGTTTTTCATAGTTTCTGATATTTTTAGAAAAATAAAAGTAAATTTGTTCCCTAAAGATTAGTATTCTGTACTTTTTCTTTCTTTCAGCCTCTTAGTAAATCTCTTGCTTTGTGTATATATATACACACATACACATTCAGATGTATATATATGTATATAGATGTACATATGTGTATATATACATTCAGATATATATATACAGATATAGCTCAGTATTGCAGTTAATGCAGATATATCTATATATAATATACATAGGTATATATACACACGTATATATGTGTCTATATATACAGTATACGTGTATATATACAGATACATGTGTACTGTATATGTATCTGTATACACATGTATACTGTATACACAGTACATATATACTGTATATATAGATATATATACATTCATATATTTTACAGTTAATTTGCTTCAAAATGAGGCACAAAAATACAGTACTTAATTTCATTAAGCTCACTAATTTTTTAATTATTTATACTCCTTATTTTAATGTCTTGAAGTTTGGTCTCATAAAGATGTTAAGCAGAAGAAATTGTCTTGAACATTTCTCTCAGGATATATCTTTATTTTGAATCAATCAGGCACAAGGTAAATGAAATACAGATTCATTGTGTACTTTCTTGTTCTAAGCAATCATTTGATTCCTGATATTTTCAACACTACAAATCATCATCATTACCTTTGTCAGTTTGGTCATTATAACAATTTGCATCCATATATTTTTTAGGCTTTTATTTACTTTTAAATTTAAAAAGCTAAGTAAAAACCAAAAACTCAACAGTTCAGTTTTCAAGCAGGAAAGATCTTAAACATTTTAAGAGAGTAGTCGCTGAATTATCAGGAACAAATACTAAAAGAAAGCAACCATATTACTACTTAACCTTTCAGTTTTCTTATCAAGCTATCTTTGTCCCCATTCTTGGTCTCTTAAAACGTTGCGTTTGATTTTCCCAGTGATTGTCTTTGGGAGTTCTTCAACAAATTCCACCTAATTGACAGAAAAAAACGTTATGAGACACTTATCCTTCCAATTGTCAGTGCAATGGGAAAGAGCTTGCATGAAACTCTGACTGAATTTTAAAGTCGAGATTATCTTAGCCTAAGCTCATTGAATTTCATGGACACCAGAAACTGGTCTGTTTATATAGGAAGGGTGACAGTGTAGCTCCATCTGATGGATTTTTAGTGCAAATTCACTGAAATGCTTTGCCAGTAGAAAGTCATAGTCCCTTTACCCCATTTCTTTCCCCTAGTTCAAATAAGTCCTAGGCCTCCACTCTTCCCAAGAAACAGAGATCACAGCTAAACACAAAAAGAACAGTTCTTGTCTTTTCAGAGCTGGATCCTGGAGGTTTTGAGGAAGAGTTTTAGGGGTAATTTGGAGTATATAATTTGGAGTATATACAGTTTTCCCTTCTGCCCTGACTTGACCACAAAAATCCTCCTTTTGTTCTCTTTTCTCAAAATAAGACTACTGTATTTTAAAATGCCCCCAAATAGTCTTTCTGAAAGTCAACGATTACTGATTTAGTGAATTTAATGGAGGAAATGTGAGTAGTTTTTAGGTTTAACTGCTTTTTGACTGAAATGATGCCAAATGAAATAGAAATCTCATGCAGCGGATCAGTAATTATCAACCAATTCCACAGTTAGAAGGAAACTACAGGGCCATCTTCATGTATTTACATAGTGTTGTTCTTAAATCATTCTTTGAAGAAGGTTTCAGGAAAGATTCCATAGTTTCTTTGGATACCATCTTCTGAACATTAACTGAGGTTACTTGATACTTCAAGGCATGTACTTTGAATTTATAGGGGTATTAGGGATAAGAGTAGTGAGATAGATGAATCAAGGGCTGTCCCTAAAAACAAGGCACTTGGCAATTCTTTGCCACTGTGTTGTTCTCATACAGAATGGGACTAATTAGTCCTAGAAAGACTCTTAGTAGTGATTCAGTATTGCAGAGTTGATTAAAGGTTCTGGTTTATAATTCACTTATACCGTTCTAATATAAAACATTTTAAAGCAAAATTCTTATGGTTAAACAAATTGAAAAGCGTCATCTACCTATATAATGAGCTACTATAAAGTCAAAATCCAGTAAAATCTAATTCTAGCTTAGACCCTAGTTTGGTAACATCCAAACTTAACTTTTGGGCAAAGTACTTGCCTTTCTTGGATATTTATAAGGTGCAGTTGATTTTTTCACATGATCCTGAAGCTCAAGAGTTAATTTCTCTGGGTTGTAGGACTTAAAGGGTGCAGCTAAGACAACAAAAGCTTTCACCACCTGCAACAGAAAAGTTAATTTATCTTGCTCATCTGTTTTTCAGACATGTCAAGGATTTGCAGCCAATGCTGAATGCAGTTGCTTACTACTTGTTAACAACAGTTCGTGTGATGACTACAAATGCCAGAGGTTACCTCTGAACAAAGCTTGGATACAATTGCAAAGTGATGTTTTTCAGAATATTTTCAGGTAAATGGTGCATGAGTATGAGGAGTGCAGTGGTTCAAGAAAGTTAAGTTCTATTTACAGATCACGCATGTATTTAACATTGCAATCAGACTGATCCTATTTATTATACGGACAGTCCTTGGTTTATGGATGACCACTTACTCCATTAAACCGGTACCATTAGAAGCATGTAGGAGGGGGACAAATGGAGCTCCTAGAGAACATGTGGTTTCAAAGGAGTTTGGAGGGTCCCAGTGGAGGAAGGGCTGTGTATCCTGGGAGATCAAACCTCAGGAAGGGGCTGAGCATGGTGGCTTACACCTATAACCCCCAAGACTTTGGGAGGCCGAGGTAGAAGGATAGCTTCAGCCCCGGAGTTTGAAACCAGCCTGGTCAACATGGTGAGACCCCCATCTCTACAAAGACTTTAAAAAAAAAAATTAGCCAGGGTGCAGCAGTGCACACCTGTAGTACTAGCAACTCAAGAGCCTGAGGCAGGAGGATCGAATGAGCCCAGCAGATTGAGAGGTTACAGTGAGCTATAACTGCACCACGGCACTCCAGCTTGGGTGACAGAGCAAGTCTCCATCTCCAAAAAACAAAACAAAGCCAAAAATCAAAACCTCTCAGGAAGGATCGATCTATCTCTGTGAGGTCTTTTTTGACTCATATTGTTTGCTTCTCTTTGAAATACTGTTTAAAACCCACCAATTAGATAATTACTGAGGTTAGTAAGCATAATTTATATTATTTATTGTTCATACATTGATTCTAATTCGTGGTTACTTCGGTTCAGCTGAAATCATTTATATTGAGAGAATAAGAACATGGTGGCAGGAAGAAACTGTTTTTGAGAATGGAATAGATGGAGAGTAGAGTGGGTACAGGAGGTAAGAGTATGGGATCCACAGTGTCACTACAGAGGCTAACTGGTGTGTGAGAGGGAGGTACAGATGTGGATTGATGCTGACAAACTGTTTTGAAATTTTGTCACTTGCTATGTCCGTAGGAAATTTCCATGAGGAAAACAAATTATGAAAATAAGGCTTCCTCCTAGAATTAAGGCTATTACTGTCATTGCCAGAGTTCCATTTCCTTAGGTCCTAAATAGGCTCATGAGATTGTCTGGGAACCTGGCCACAATTTTCTTTTTCTTTCTTTCTGTTTTTTTTGAGACGGAGTCTCTCTCTGTTGCCCAGGCTAGAGTACAGTGGTGCAATCGTGGCTCACTGCAACTATTGCCTCCCAGGTTCAAGCAGTTCTCCTGCCTCGGCCTCCTATGTAGCTGAGATTACAGGTACCCGCCACCACACCTGGCTAATTTTTGTATTTTTAGTAGAGACAGGGTTTCACCATGTTGGTCAGGCTGGTCTCGAACTCCTGACCTCAAGTGATCCACCCACCTCGGCCTCCCAAAGTGCTGGGATTACAGGCATGAGCCACCGTGCCCACAGTTTTCTATTTGTCTTGTTTCTGTGAGAAAATATATTCTGAATTTCATGACAGCTTTCCATTCAGTGAAATCTGTGGCTTTTGCTTATGCAGTATCTGTTCCTCCTTTTTAGTAACTAATTTTCCTATGGAGTGTTACCCTAACTTCTGTCTGGTGGGACTGACACCAACACCTACTTCCAAGGATAGACATATGATCCAAGGCTGACCAATTAGCATATACCAGTCTCTGAACCACATTGGTTAGAGATATGATCTAAGGTAGGCAAATGAAGTCTTAAGTGTTACTTGAAACAACTGAAAGCAGAGCTGTATCCTTCCCTGAAGGGGTGGAGGGTTGCTAAGGTGTATACGTCTGGAGTTGGTTGATATCAAGTAGGAAGAATCTGATCAAATGGAGCCATAATAAAGAACAGCAGAGTCAAAAGTGAAGAGAAGCTAAATCTTGCCAACCTCACGTGAACCCTTGGATGTGGCTGTACTTAAGTACTTGTCACTTATATGAGCCAAATGCCTTTTTTTTTTTTTAAGGCAGTTTGATTTGTGTTTCTGTCACTTGCCATCAAAAGAATTCTAATACCGCCTCTTTGGGACACAACTTATTGTAAAGTTGGTTGCCTGATTTATATTTTGGCCAAATGCATGCTTCATAATGAGAATTAATAGATTGACCACTCTTGGTTCAGCCTTTACAGTGGTCAAATGGACAGAACTTGAAAACATGAAGTTGCTTCTTTAATGAATGACATTCATCTACCTCTCTTCGGATTTGATCTGGACTACTGACAACAGCCGATTCAACAACTGCTGGGTGCTCAATGAGTGCACTCTCCACTTCAAATGGCCCAATACGGTACCTGAAGCGGAAAAGAAGTTTTTGACCACCACATCCTCCAAGTAAGTGATCTCCCTCCCTGTCAAATTGTTACCTCTTCAGAGTGGAAAAGGTACAAACCCAGAGGATATAATGACATCATCAGCTCTGCCGACAAACCAGAAATACCCATCACTGTCCATCACTCCTCTGTCTCCAGTAACATAAAAATCTCCTCTTATCGTGGCAGCAGTTTTCTGTGGATTGTCCTAGGAACCAAAGATGACATTTGGGGATTAGTCTGGTCAGAACAGAGATGGGTATGGCACTCATTAAGTTACTAGTACATTACACATCCTACTTCTAAAGGAATTTTTTTTTTTTTTGAGACAGAGTCTCTCTCCATTGCCTAGGCTGGAGTGCAGTGGCTTACTGCAGCCTCAACCTCCTGGGCTCTAGTGATCCTCTCACCTCAGCCTCCTGAGTAGCTGGGGCCACAGGCATGTGCCACAACACCTGACTAATTGTATTATGTTTTTGTAGAGATGGGGTCTCACTATGTTGCCCAGGCTGGTCTTGAACTCTTGGGCTCAAGCCACCCTCCCACCTTGGCCTCCTAAAGTTCTGAAATTATAGCCATGAGCCACTGTGCCTGGCTGGAAATTAAATTTTTTTAAAAGATAGTTCCTAGTGTAAAATACAAAAGGTCCTAAAGAGTATAATAAAAAGCCCCTCTTCTACCTCTAGCACCCCCCAACTGCATCCTTATTCCAGCCTGTCCAGTTTTCCTTTCTGAGGATAACCACTGCAACCAGTTTCTTACATTTGGAATTTCATCTTTACAGTACTCTTGGGTGATAGATGATAGCCTCCCCATTTTACGGTGGATGAAAGATTTTGTTGCTTGCCCAAGGTTACATAGCAAGACATGGTGGAAATGAAATTTGAACCCAAGTCTGTATTTAAGGCATGACCAGCACTTTCTGTCCTCATACCACATATTCAGAGAAGAAACAGAAGGGCCGTGTAGACTTCAGTCTGAGGGCAATTTCCCCTTCTTTGCCAGGTGGTAGAACATTGCCGTTTTCGTCTATAATCTGGAATGAAATAAACAAGTGATGTTCTTAAAATTTTCTTTTCACAAAATGAAAGCAGCTTGTGAATAGTTGTACAATGAATAGCAGAAAAGGAACACGTTCTCTCTCCTTTATTGAACCAGTCAGATATTTTCTCAACCTACCTGGACATCATAGGGCAGCATTCCTTTCCCCATTGAACCTGGTTTGATTTCTTGGCCTTTCTGATTGGCACAAATTATTCCCTATTGAGAGGACAAGCTTTGTATAAGTATACAAAAGTTCCTTTTCTGAAACTATATCATGGCAATGAAAATTAAGATTTGATTTTGACTGATTTTCCTGGCATGCAGGCACACCTTCCGAAATATATTATTTGAGACCAGTAGTTCTCAAACTTGGGTGTGCATTAGAATCAAATTTGAGATTCTGGAGCATTGTTGAAACACAGATTGATGGGCCTTATCCCAGTTTCTGATTCATTAGGTGTGGAGTGGGGTCTAAGAATTTGGCATTTCTACCAGATCTACCCAGATGTTGATGTTGCTTGGTTTGATGGCCACACTTTGAAAACCACTCCTTAGACTCCATCAAGTGCACCTTAGAATCAGCTTCCCATGGACGCTCTCAGAGGATTATTCCCAGCACAATGGAAAGATGAGCTGCTCAATTCTGAACCTCACCCACCCCCAATGCCTCTGAGGTTTCTCCTGCAAAAGGGGGAGGCAGGAATGATGGAATAATCATCATTCCCCTTCAGCAAAACCTAATTGAGCAATCTGCAAGTTTTGGTAACTGCTGGCAAGGTGAGGTATCCTGGGAAACTCCATACAAATTTAGAGTGGGAGGGAGGCACTTCAGGGGCTCAGCTGACACACCTGGGGCAGAAAGGCCCCCTCATATGCTAAACATAGATGCCTGCTAGATATACCACTTCCGTCTGTCCATAGCCCTCATATAGCTCCAGCCCAGTTTGCGCCCTCCACTGCTCCAGCACTTCTGGGTTGAGTGGCTCCCCTCCCGTCAAGCAGTGCCGCAGACTCTTGAATTTATACCTGGAGAGAGAGAGTTGCATGGGTCTTTTCAAGAGGAACCTGAGTGCTTTCACTGCAAGACAATGAGGACATTCAAGCAGCAAGCATAGCAGCTGGGAGAGGCTAGTCTTAGGAAAGTTCATTCAATAAATACTTGTTAACACCTGCCATATTGCCAGACATTGTTCTAGGTATATGGGGGCACATTAGTGATTATAACAAAAATTCCTGAGAGCTTTCATTTTAGCAGATGGAGGAGAACTTAGCTACTAAAGATGTAAAATGGCAGGAGAAAATGCTATTAATGATACTAAGTGTTTATTATGAGCCACATGATATAACAGCTAATATTGATTGAGTAGTCGCTATGTCGTAAGGGCTTTAGAAGCATTCTTAGACTTCCCTCAACCCCTATTTACGCATGAGGACATTGAGGCTCAGAGAGGTTAAAGAACTTGCCCAAAGCCTCCCACGTAATAAAGGACTGAGTTGATACTCATGAAACTCTACCAGGCACCTTCCACTTCTCAGGGTGATCTCACCAAGCATGTCACATTAAATTCTCACCACTACCTTATGAGGGGGCTCTTAATCCTCTCTTAAAGATGGAGTTGATGGAGGCTTAGCAAGGTTATCTTGAGTGTCCAAGGCCACATGATTAGTAAGTAGCAGGGCCCTGCCTCTTTGACTTTGCTGCTTAGCTTTTAACCACTAGCCTTACTGGACTCAAGTGAGAAAGCCTGGAACAGCCTGCTTCTCATACGCTGAGGCCCCAAATGGGCCAGAGAGTGTGGGTAGAATACAAATCATATGCATTCAAAATAATCATTGAATAGTCCCTGAATTACTCCTGAAACGTGAACAAGATGCTCATGTTTCAAAGGCCGTGACATAGGAGCAAAGGAGTTGACGCTGATTAGGAAAAGAGAAGATTCATACTTGCTTTATTCTGTCTCGCATAGCACTTTCCCTCTTGGGCCACCACACTTTGGTGGCAAAGGAGGATGGACAAGCCTATGCTACTGAATTTGCTCCTCTCTTCCTTTCTCTCCTCATGTATTGAGTTTGAATTAAACAAATCTACATTGCAACTCTGCTGGGTGTTCATATGGTTTGGCTAAATTTAATATGACCTTCAAGTCATAAACTTTGTTAGCTTTTCTTCAAAGCAATATAAATGCACTTTTCTTTCTTTCTTTTTTGAGGGCTGATTCTAAATCACAGTGTTTCTAAAAGAGTAGAACTAGAGGATAATTTTTTTTGAGTGGGAGTTCTGGGACTATAAAGGTCTGATTGTCCCTGGAAAAATGTCCAGTTGTCCTAGAAGATATTCCAGTGGTTCTTAGACTAGGGGACAGTTTTGCCCCCCAGGAGACATTAGGCGGTGTCTAGGGACATTTTTGATTTTCACAAATGGGGAGGACGAGGTGCTACTGGCATCAAATAGAGTCTTGGGATGCTGCTCAATATTCTGTAATGCATATGACAGTCTCCCAACAATAGAATTATTCGGTTCACAATGTCAGTGGTGGTAAGACTGACAAAGCCTCAGCTATCCTAAGCTGAAAAAGGGAGATCTGTGATCCTGGATGGTAGCTATTGGTTGTGGTTCAAAGGGAGATTTCTGCCCAAGTACCTCTTAAGGTCTTTTCGCACAAGCATCCGGTACACAGTGGGAGGACTGCACAGGGTTGTGATGGGATAAGTGGTAAGCGTCTGGATGATGGAGAAAGACACAGATGTCAGAAGTGGTCAATCAAAGGCCATGACTAGAGCTGTTATTCTACACCCTGTTATTTTCCTCCATTAATATGTGCCCATCCCATGGTCACTACTAGGAATAAGAAAACAAATATTTATTACTTGTCACTAGTGAGTGTATATCTGTTGGGAATTTCCAATTACTGAAAAGAATGTATATATATTAATATTACAGTAACAGACATACACAATCTAATTCAACAAGTGAATTACTGAATTTGAGAACAACCCAAAGTATGAACTGGTTTATTCTTCCTCGGGGCTGCAAGTTACCTTTTATAGTGTAATCTTGTAACCTCCTGCCCATATATTCATAGATAGTATTGACTATGGATATATAAGCAAACCTACTGGGACCTTTCCAGCTCCATTCCTATAAAATATATTAGTCTTTTTGAGTAAGTTGAATAAATGTAGAAACAAGCATTTTTTTAGGCCTTTTCTTAATTTTTAAAAATTTGCTGAGTTCATTATGCCTCTGGTTTCTTAAATAAGATATGGCCTAGGCGTCTTAAATCTAGAGAAATACTGTTTTAGAGCTCCTTCTTCTAGAGAAGTTCCACTGTGTCCCTCAATGTATTGACAATTTGCATTAAACTTAAGTATTTGGGAGAAGGCTCTCAAAATGTATATCTGGGCTACCTGGATTGTCACAGATAAAGTATAACGTTTGATCAGTAAGTAAACATTTCTACTGTGTTTATCTGCTCCGTAGATTCTAATTATTTTTATAAAGTATAATATATACACCTAAAAATAGCATACATCTATAAAGGTTTTTATAGCACTTAAAATACACACATGATTTTTGTAAAATAAAAATATTCTTATTTTAAAAACATAGGTTTTGAAACTGCAAAGTTAACTTACCAACTTTAGGGCACTTTGTAAACCTGATGTAGAGATCCCAGTTCTTATGTTAGCATACATTTATGTTAAGACCTTTTAACCAGGGATCCCCAACCCACAGGACAGACTGGTTTCTGTTTGTGGCCTATCAGGAACTGGGCCACACAGCAGGAGGTGAGTGGTAGGGCAACAGAGCGAAGCTTCATCTGTATTTTTTTTTTCTTTTCTTTTCCTTTGAGACTGAATCTTGCTCTGTCACCCAGGCTGGAGTGCAGTAGTATGATCTCAACTCACTGCAACCTCTGCCTCCCGGGTTCAAGCAATTCTCTGCCTCAGCCTCCCGAGTAGCTGGGATTACAGGCGCCCACCACCACACCTGGCTAATTATTTGTGTTTTTAGTAGAGAAGGGGTTTCACTATCTTGGCCAGGCTGGTCTTGAACTCCTGACCTCGTGATCCACCTCCCCCCCCCCGCCAGCCTCCCAAAGTGCTGGAATTACACCTGCTTCATCTGTATTTATAGCCACTCCCCATTGCCCGCATTAGCGCCTGAGCTCCACCTCCTGTCAGGTCAGTAGTGGCATTAGATTCTCATAGGAGTCTGAACCCTATTGTGAACTGTGCACGTGAGGGATCTAAGTTGTGTGCTCCTTAAGAGAAACTAATGCCTGATGATCTGTCACTATCTCCAATCACCCCCAGATGGGACTGTCTAGTTGCAGGAAAACAATCTAAGGGCTTCCACTCATTCTACATTATGGTGACTTGTATAATTATTTCATTATACATTACAATTTAATAATAATAAAAATAAAGCACACAATAAATGTAATGCACTTGAATCATCCTGAAATTATCTCCCCACTCCCCCCAGTCTCCATGGAAAAATTGTCTTCCACGAAACCAGTCCCTGGTACCAAAAAGGTTGCAGACTGCTGCCTTAAACCATCTTGTCAGACCAGTTAGCAAAATAACAGGTGAAGAGCTTTTATTCACACACAAGTATAGTTTGTATGTAATAATATGTATTTTGTTAAACTTAATAAATTTGTTATGGTTGAAAAATAATTGGCCCTAATCACATTTTTCTAAAGTCTAAAGAAATTGGAGTTATCTGATATCTCAATCTAGCTGTGCCCGGTTGAGAAGGCAGGGCATGCATGCCCGGTTTCCAACAGAGTACTGGGTTCTGAGAACTAACAAAGTGGGAAGTATAGGCTGGGGGAGAATAAGAAGAGCTGCTCTGGGAGAAAGGCACCCCCACTTTTAATGTCCACTCCACACAAGAGTTCCGGTTTATCAGCTATTATCTTTATTTCACTGAATCAGAAATGAAGTATTTGTTTGGACTTCAGACTCCTAATCTGTTATTTAGAACCAGTTTCTTAAGTAGCTACAGATTGAGCAACAGTAATCCTAAGCTATTTGAAGCAGCAGTCCGGATTTCCTGCCTAAGAGTGCTGCAGTTATTCCCCCTCCATTCTGTCAAATACATTTCAAAAGCCAAGACCCTTGAGACTTTGCTTTGTATAAAGAAATGATTTCCAGAAGCCCAAGAAGCCTCGTATTCTGAGGAATAATTTCTTCGTGATTTTATGGGAAACAAGGAGGAACTCTAAAGATCTATCTAGCTGAAGGACTTGACTTACGTCTAGGAAGATGTCAGTGTCAAACTGTGCCATTTGATGCACAAAAACACAGGCTCCACACAGCCAGGAAGAAAACACACTGCCAATGGCGGCCTTGACCCAGCCCGTGTCAGACATATTCCATATGATATCTGAGGACTTCAAGTCCAGCCAATACCTAAACGATATGAAGAAGCAACAAAACAGACCAAAAGTAAAGAAACAAAAATTACAAACTGGTATCTTTCAGGGGTGACTTTGCCCCAAAATCTTAAGGGCTATAGAGAAGGGTCAAAAGAAGCCCCAGGCAAGGTGATAGATTCTACTTCTACTCTTCTTAAGGGCATTTTCAGAATCCCAGGTGGTCTGAGAGTACAGTGAGAGGCTGGGTGTGGCATGATTTTTTGAGTTTGTCCATTGATGCAACAAATACTTGTTAAGCTGGAATGTTCTAGGCGCTGTTCTACAGCAGTGAGCAAGGTAGACCAAATCTCTGCTCTTATTTTAGGGTGACAGATAGTGAATAAATATACAATAAAGTGAGTTAAGTGTATTAATAAATATCATTATTTCAAGTAGTATAAATGCTATGAGGAAAATAAAATGGGATAATGTGACAATTGTAGGACAGCCTCTCTTTTAGGAAGGCCTTTCTGGGTAGCCCTTCCTGGCAATGAGAAAAGGGAGCCAGACATGCTGTTAAAGGATTAATTGCGGTCGATTCTTAAGTTCTTGCTTGATCAGCTGGTTAGATGCTGCCATTTACTGAGCTAGGTTGGGCAGGGCCAGCAAGAGATCTGTTGTGTAGCTATTATATTGGCAATATCTTACAGCAATTCAAGGAGAAGTATCAGTTAGTTGGATACACATATTGGCAGCTTTGGGGAGTTCACCAAAAACAAACTGAATTTTCTTCCCTACCTTCCACAGAGGGTTAACCCAATGCCGAGGCTGCTCTGAGAGTGCTGGGCCATTTTAGGAGAGCCTGTGGTCCCACTGGTGAAATAAATGGTCATTGGTTCTTGACTTCGTGTTTCCACACAGCTGTGCTCTTCAGAGGCGAATCTGCAAAATATGGACCCCAAGATGGTGGTGGAAGATGGCAGTCCAGTTTAACTCTGATATTTCTTCTGCTCAACTACTTATGCCCTCTTACTACCAGAAGATAGTTAACAGAACTGAACCTAATCCAAAGCTTTCCTGAGAGGAATTCCTCAAGAAATCTTAGCGGGATTTTGAATATCAGTGCTAAGATTTAACAGCCCAGTTCTTTTTTTAAGGTTCATCTCCCTATAGGGTAAAGAAATAGCCAACATAACTTTCAATATTAATAACAAAAGACATGCATTTTATGGATCGTAACTTTTTTTTCCAAGTGTGTTTTTAAAAAGTCTGTGAGTTTTTAAAAATCAGCATTGAATCTTCATACATTGCTATTAATGTTTCAGGGGGTTTTATTATTTAAAGGAAGATCTTTTGGCATTTGGATCAAACTTTTAAATAATTTTTTTTCAGTATCTTTGCTGTGGCAGATGCAGCTAGTTGCTTACCAAATAGCTGTCTCCTTCTTCCTTGCACTCATAGAACTGATTCTGTTCAAGTATCAGGCAATTAAGTGCTTCAGGGGAGACTGTCCCTGTATAGCTCCTACAGGCAAATCTTGATGAATCTAAGCCAGTCACAGTCATTCCTTTGGTTGAAGATTGGACACATGATGCAGTTATGGACAATGAGATGTAAGGCTTTAATGGCATATGTTTTCTTGTTCTAAAAAGAGTCATGAGGAAAAGATGCAGCCTTCTTCCCCAGCCCATCCTGTTTTATGGCCTTTGGGTATTGTTGTGCAAGTACAGGATGTCTGGAGCTACCCTGGCCATCTTGGATTTATACTGAGAGTGGTGTGATAGGAAGATGAATAAATCTGTGTCCATGTTAATTTCATTGACCCACTGAATTCACCAAACTGATAACAATCTCTGTGTAAGATTGTCTGCAAAGATAGCTCCATGATTCCTTCCATCCCTGTAGACAAATTCTTAGATATTGTATTAGTTATCCATCACTGAGTAACAAATCATCCTTGTATGTCATTCCCTCATTGTAGGACAGAGCTTATGTCCTCTCTCTTTGAATCTGGGGTGGTCTCATGACGTTTTTTCATTAATACACTGTGGCACAGGTTCTGGGACTTCTCAGCTTAGGCCTCAAGAAGATTCATAGTTTTCATTTTCCCTGTGGGGTACCTTAGCCACCATATAAAGATGTTTAGACTGTCCTGCTGGAGGGAGAGGCTATGTGCAGGAAAACTGAGGTGCTTCAGCTGGCAGCCAGCCTGACTTAAAGGTGAACCCACTTTGGATACTCGAGTCCCAGTCAGGCTGATTTGGAGCAGAGACCAGCTGCCTCTGCTGAGCCGTATGTGAATTTCTGACCCATGGACTCATGAGCAAATAAAATAACTACTGTTTACACCACTAAGTGCTGGGATGATTTGTTACTCAGTGATGGATAACTGGTACAGTATCCGAGAATTTTTGAGACTGGTGCATCATATTTTTATTTTATTTGTTTATTTATATTTTGAAATGGAGTTTCACTCTGTCGCCCAGGCTGGAGTGCAGTGTCATGATCTCGCCTCACTACAACCTCCACCTCCCAGATTCAAGCAATTCTCCTGCCTCAGCCTCCCAAGTAGCTGAGACTACAGACAATGCACCACCACACCCAGCCAATTTTTATATTTTTAGTACAGATGGGGTGTCACCATGTTGGCCAGACTGGTCTCAAACTCCTGATCTCAGGTGATCCACCCGCCTCAGCCTCTCAAAATGCTGGGATTACAGGCGAGAGCCACCACATCTGGCTGGTGTATCATATTTTTAATTTCTCTGGTTGAAGGGAACAGGGTTAAGGATGCTGTTTTAGTTCATCTTGATGGTGAATAAGTGACATTGTCATTGAAACAGTAAAAATAGTGAGGATTTTTTTTTTTTTTTTGAGACAGAGTTTTACTCTGTCACGCAAGCTGGAGTGCAGTGGCATAATCTCGGCTCACTGCAGCCTCCACCTCCCAGGTTCAAGCAATCTTCCCACCTCAGTCTCCTATTAGCTGAGACTACAGGCATGTGCCACCATGCCCAGCTATATTTTTGTATTTTTAGTAGAGATGAGGTTTCACCATGTTGGCCAGACTGGTCTCGAACTCCTGACCTTATGTGATCTGCCTGCCTTGGGATCCCAAAGTGCTGGGATTACAGGCATGAGCCACCGTCCCCAGCCAACAGTGAGGATTATTTAAAAATAGTTTCATAAAATATTAACATGGTTTTCTTGGTAACTTGCTTCCTCCCCTTAAAATAGAAAAAGATCATTCATTCAACTATATTGATTTTCTTTTCAGTGTATGTATAGAGTGAAGTTTATATGTGTTGGCCTAGAGAGGGGCATTACTTCACAGAATCTAATACCTATGGGGAGACCTCTTATGTTTAAACATTTCTCAATCCATAAGGGAACAGATGAATGGACATGATAATTCAGATGGTGATAATTCAGATGGACAGTATGGAACCTTTTGATAGAAGGCATCTATCTATCTTATCTATCTATCATCTATCTATCTCTGTCTATCATCTATCTACCTACCTATCTTTCATCTATCTATTCTTCCATCCATCTGTCTACCTACCTATCTACCTACCTACCTATCTACTTATCCATCTTTCATCTATCCATCTATCTATCTATTTATCTATCTATCTATCTATCTATCTATCTATCTATCTATCTATCTATCTATCAGAAAAAGCATCACAACCTGTGAGTGACAGGAAGATTTTCAAGCAGTGATTTCATTATCTGACTTCCTTTCCTTGAATACCTGAGTTCTGAGTTATGCCTTTCCAGATTTCAGAGCTAATTATATACTAATAACTTCTTGCTTTGTATCTTTGCCTCTTGTCCCTGAGACTCATGTATCTACTACCTGCTAGACATTTGAATGTTCACAGACCCTTCAATCTTGTATGTCCAACTCTAAACTTGTTATGTTAACCTTATCTACTGGCTCTTTCTCCAACTCATGGTACCTACCCACCAATCACCTAAGTCAAAAAGCAGCTCAGCCTTGACTCCTTCTTCCTTCATCTTCCACATCCAATACTCTTCAAGTCCTGCTAGTTGTTTAGTTTGTTTCCTTTCCTCCATCCTATTCATCAGAGCTCAGATTTAGATTTTTTATTATCTCTGCCCTAGATGAGGCTCCAGAATGGCCTCTCTGATTCCAGTTTGTTCCTCCTCAAACTAATCCTCTACATATCTGCCAGATAAATCTATTTAAAATCCATACCTGACCGTGGCACTTCCCTTCTTAAAACCCATCAATGGCTTCCCTTGTTTACAGGGTCAAGTTTAAGATTTAGTATGGCATGTGAGATCTCCCATAATCTGGCCTGTTTGCTCTTCCAGGCTTCACTCAGACTCCATATTTTATTCTCTAGCTAAACCAAACTGCTTGTAGTCCATTCCCTGCACAACTTAGGGTATTTTTTTGGTTTTTTGCTTCCATATCTTTGGTCATGCTGTTCCCATGCTTGGAACACCATCTTGACCCTGTCATGGTCAGAATCCAGAGTCCTGGACCCCACAGGACAGGGTCCTTTGTACTAGGACAGAAAAAGAGACATATCAATCTGGCTTATAATTTTGACCTTTTCCCTTATCCCATTATGAATATTCTGGAAAGTGTTAATGGACTTCTATACTTGGGAGGCAGAAGGATGGCAAGAAGGCTTAAAATGTACTTATTGAATAAAAGATCAACTCTAGCAATGTAAAATTAGCCCACATTATTGCTATGTGTAGTCTTCTGAAAAACTAGCCAACTGTTGGCAATGAGACGGCTATCCCTTCCCTAGTTTTTAGAGAAACAATCCATGGCCATTTGGAGGTATGACACTCCAAAGTCATTTGTTTAAAATGAGGATTTTTTCCGTCTTGAAAACCACTCCGAAAGTGTGCAAATTTCAATTTGAAATCCACATGAATTTAAAGTCCTTTATCTGTTGTAAATTTTGTGGCATCTTTAAGGTTTCTTGGGGACTCAACAGATTATTGCAAAGATTCTTAGGACAGAAGTCTCCGAAGTGGAAGTGCTTGCTGCTCAAAGAGTGTGCAAGGCAACTGGGGTAGAGAAGAAAAAAGAAGAATTGCCAATTATATGTTTTTTGTTTTTTAGACAGAGTCTCACTCTGTCACTCAGGCTAGAGTGCAGTGGCACAATAGTACTGTTTTACTCATCCTCTAAAATTTTTATTTTTGCTATTTGTATAATGCATAAAAGTACATGTATATAATTTATAAATAAATACATGTATTAGAGGTATGTTAAAAAAAGTATGTTACTAATGGAGATGCATATTCAAATAATATAAATACCATTACCTTAGGAATCACTACACTGTTGAATGACTTTGTTAACTTGAAAATAAGAATGATAGCTGTTATAATTACTATGATATTTATGGAGTAATTACTCCGTGCCAGGCATTCAGCTAAGAATTTTACATGTTTTATCACATTTGGTCCATCTACAACCCCATGAGGTAGATACTATCATAGTCTCCACTTTATGGATAAGATAAAGAGTTTCAGCAATATTACTTGACTTAGACTTATCCAAGGTTACACAGCTTATAAAAGACACAAGTAGTATTCACTGGTGTGGCCCTTGGGAAAGAATTTTGGGATTGGCCAATAGTATTTGGTTTATATTAATTAGTAAGATAAAATTTCATTCTAACAAAAAAAACTGTGCTATTATTCAGCAGGGTTTACATGTCTTCTCTTTCTATAAACTTCTCTGGAAGAATTATTTTTAAACATAAGCTATTCAACACCTCTTTGAAGGATAATACCATTAATTAACATTTTACACATTTTTTGCAGCTTAAAAAACACTTTCTCACATATTCATTTAATTTATCCTCAAAACAACACTTGAGATAAGTACAGTATAATTATTGCCATTTTACTTATGAGGAAAACTGCAGTTGTGATCTCTTTTGTTCATTCGCTTATAAATATTAAGCACGATTTGTGCATTAGAAACTAGAGATAGAAAGATGAACCAAACAAAGTCTCTGCTTTCTTACAACTTATGGTTTAGGGCAGGGGTTGCCAGACTTTTTCTGTAAAGGAGCAGACAGCAAGTATCTCAGGCGTTGTGGGCCATGCAGTTTCTGTTGTAACTGCTCCACTGTGCTGTTGTTACATAGACAATATGTAAATAAATGAGCATGGATGCAGTCCAATAAAACTTTATTTACAAAAACAGAGCCGGGCATAGTGGCTCATACCTGTAATCCCAGCACTTTAGGAGGCTGAGGCAGGTGGATCACTTTGAGGTCAGAAGTTTGAAACCAGTCTGACAAACATGGTGAAACTCCCTCTCTACTAAAAATACAAAAATGAGCCAGGCATGGTGGCCGGTGCCTGTAATCCCAGCTACTCAGGAGGCTGAGGTGGGAGGATCACTTGAACCCAGAGGTGGAGGTTGCAATGAGCCGAGATCACACCACTGTACTCCAGCCTGGGTGACAAAGTGAGACCCTGTCTCAAAAAAAAAAAAAAAAACGGAAACAAGCAAACAACAGCAACAAAAAGGGTGGCAGGCCAGATTTGGCCTTTGGGCCTGAGTTTACCAAACCCTACTCTAGAGGAGCAAAAAGACTACATAAAGGAACAGATAAATGGACATGATAATTCAGATGATGATGAGTGATATGAAGAGAACAGGAGGACGATGTGACAGAGTGGCTTGTAGTTCTATTCTAGGTAGTGTGGTCAAGGGAAGCTTCTTAGGATAAAATATTGAGTCAAAATATGACAAGAAGGAGCCACTCATGAAAAGGGATAAGAAGAGCCCTCCAGGCAGAAGAAATAATAGGAGCTGAGGTAGGGCATGTTTGAGGAAGAAAAGGGAGAGTAGTAGGAGATGTGGTCCAGCTTTAAGCAAGGGCCAAATCACACAAGATTCTCATCATAGACCACAGTAGAAAGCAGGAGGGTGGAGGCAGAGCTATGTCCCTTTCTTCTGCCCTTAAATCCATTTATTAGGTAATATTTTTCTTTTTCTTTTTTTTTTTTTTTTTTTTTTTTTGAGACGAAGATTCACTCTGTTGCCTAGGCTGGAGTGCAGTGGCATAAACTCGGCTTACTACAACCTCCACCTCCCAGGTTGAAGTGATTCTCATGCCTCAGCCCCCTGAGTAATTAGGATTATAGGCGGGCACCACCACGCCCAGCTAATTTTTGTATTTTTAATAGAGACAGGGTTTCACCATGTTGGCCAAGCTGGTCTTGAACTCCTGACCTCAAGTGATTCGCCCACCTCAGCCTCCCAAAGTGCTGGGATTACAGGTGTGAACCACCATACCCAGCTATTAGGTAACTCTTTTCTAAGTAAGAGCCCAGATCAATTCACAGTGTTCCTGAGTCCTTAGAGGCAAAGAGATTCCCCAATGTAGCTATAATTTGTAGTGTTGCCAGCAGAGTAGATTGGCTGGGAAAAATACTCACTGAAATAACTCCTGGAAGCTGAGCCACCCAGTCCGGCTTTGTGGAGACACCAGGAGTTTTGTCTTAAGGTCAGGACACTCCAATGCAATGGACTCCACCACTGGCGCCACCTCTTCACTGGCCACAATGCACTTGGCCTTGGATGCTCGCAGCCGGTAGAGGATGTCTTTTGCTGTCAGCTGGATTGTTCCCGGCATGAAGACGATCCCTGGGAAGGACAGAGGGCCCTGCACTGAACGGAACTGCTGTCCATTGTGGAAGACTTGGGCTTTGTGCCTCGGTGAGGAGAAGCATCACAATCCATTCTTCAGTTACCTCGGCTACCTCTGCCTGGATCCCCAAGGATATTGCACAGGACCCTGATCCCTGAGCGATCCCTTAGAGCACTAGCTTCAGAGTTTGACAGACCATGGGTCTAATCCTGACCTTGCAATTTACAAGCTTTGTGACCTTGATGTCTCTGTGCCTTTCTTTCCTTATCTGTAAAATGGGAATAACAACAATAAGTGTCTGGAATATACTAGACATTATAATGGAGGGCCATTACAATGTAACATTTTAACGTCCGTTTGAATCATTATTATGTATCACTTAATTAGCACTTTACAGCTTATAACACATTTCACGAGCACTCTCTCATTCAATTCTCTAAACCGATGGTCTCCTGCCAGGTGCAGTGGCTCACACCTGTAGTCCCAGCATTTTGGGAGGCAAGGCCGGTAGATTGCTTAATCAAGCTCAGGAGTTCGAGACCACCCCAGGCAACATGGCAAAACCCTGTCTGTACTAAAAATACACAAATTAGCCAGATGTGGTGGCACACACCTATAGTCCCAGCTACACAGGAGGCCTAGAGAATCACTTGAACCCTGGAGATGGAAGTTGCGGTGAGCTGAGATCATACCACTGTACTGTAGCCTTAGTGATAGAGTGAGACTCTGTCTCAAACAAACAAACAAAAGAAAGAAAAAAAACAATGGTCTCCAAAGTGAGTTTTTCAACAATCCATTGGGACTAAGAAATGAAAATAGAAATCTGAAAAATTATTGGCTGGGCATGGTGGCTTACACCTGTAATCCCAGTGCATTGGGTGGCCAAGGCAGGGCCACTTGAGCCCAGGAGTTTGAGACCAGCCTGGGCAACATAATGAGATTCCATTCCTGTTTAATTTTTAAAATTAAAAATTTTAAAGAATTAGAAATTATTGAGAAACTATAATTCTTTTAATGCTTTTATCTCATTTTTGTATGTTTTATAATATGCATAGTCTATTAGTGCAGTAGAAGCAAATAAATAGCTATACCCAGATGGGAAGATGTGTATCCTAAATATTTTTATTGATAGATTATACAATCAAAAATGCCTAGAGACTACTGTTTTAAGCAACCCTAGTAGGTCCATGTGGTTGTGCCCATTGATGGAATATGAGATTTGGTCATAACTGGTGAGTGGCAGAGCCAGCCCTCAACTCTATGGATTCCAGTGGTCTGGCATCATCAAGGTTTGCCTAGACTACTTTAGCAATGCTTAGTTTATCTCACCTCTTCATTTCATCCTAAACACTGGCTGGAGACATCTGATTTTAAAGTACCAGTTCATTCTGGGAAGAACATACATGGACAAATTAGATGAAAGAGAAAAGTTTGTACTTTCTAAAGTGAATTATTGGGAAGAAGAAGTGGAGTGTATATAAATAAAGTATTACAGATAATCACTACTGTTTATTGAGCACTTATTACGTGCCCAGTATCTCACTTAAAATTAATCCCAGTATATAAATAATAACTTGCACAAGGATCACAAAGTCAGTAAGTGGCAAAGGATAGAAAAGATTCAAAGATACATTTCCCAAACTCCCAAGACCTGTGCTATAAGCCAAACTACTTATTTCTTGGTGAGTTCCCTGAAGTTTGCTAAATACAAAAATGGGGAGTTGAATTGCTAGAAAGATTTTATTTTATAAATATATTTTAAAAGCTTTTAAATATCATCCCTTCTTGAGAAAGTGAATAAATGCAAAAGGATAAGGAAGTTGATTAAGAAAACACCTTAGAATATTCGCTCAATGTAAAAATTTAAGATTATTTATTTTAGAAACCACTTGTTCTTAATGACTCACAAATAATTAGTACCCTTGGTAGACTGGTGATGTGAATGTGCTCAATGTGTAGACCGCTAAATTCAGGGTTGGGAGAAGTTTTCTTCTAGTGGATTTCAGATAGCAAATATCTTAGGCTTTACTGGATACACTTTACAGCAAAAATCCAAAATATTTTGCTGTGTGGTATAGTACAATTTCAATATTCTCACTGAAGATTTAATAATTCTGAGTTAGAAAATATAATCTCACCTCCTTGCTTTGCATTTAATTTAGTGTTTTATGTTAGCCATTCAACCTATGTGTTTAGTTTTCATTATTATTTTATACATTTCATAACTTACGTTAAGCAATATTACATTTTTTTATAACAAATCACCTTCAATCTACTCTCAACACACAACTGGTTTAACATTTGCAGGTTGTTTTTAGTGAATGCAAAAAGAATTTTATATAAACAAATTTTATATAATGCTGTTTTTATTTAATATTGACAGAAAGATCATTTTCAACAGTATTATGAAATCTTTGTAATTATCATTTTAGGAGTATTTCAAGTTGAGTTACCATAATTTTAATCACTTATGCACACACACCTCAACTAAACTTAGTCTCACCTATTATAATTCAGTCATTTCTATTCAGTTGTTTCCAAAGTTTTATTATTAATAGCATTGCAACAAACATCTTTGTGTTCTTTACAGTATTCTATCCTTTGATATTCTTATTTATTTTTAATTGACTTATAAACATTTATGTCATGTTTTAGAGCAGGAATTGGAAAACTTTTTCAATAAAGGCCCAGATAGCAAATATTTTAGGCTTTGGGGGCCGTAGTATCTCCAACTCAATGAGGATTTCTGCTGTTGTGAAACAAAGGGAACCATAGACAGTATATAAATAAATAAGCACGGCTGTATTCTATTAAAATTACTTATGTAAATAGGTGCCCGACCAACAGGCCATGGCTTGTCAACTCCTGTCCTAGAGTGGAAAAATCCTGTCGGAATTTTTATTTGGGGTAAATTATAAATTACTACTTTGGGAGAAAGTGTGTCATTGAATACATTAGTTAGTCTGAAAAAAAGGTAGAGATTTTTCAACTGGGAAGTGCCAATCATATTCTTACAAGTCCTGATATATAAATACTTTTTCTTCTTCTTGTAATTTTTTTGCTAGGGAGAATCCAAATATATCCAGAGAAGTAAATTTTGGATGATCTGGATGAACATGTCCTAGACAATCCAGCACTGCAAAGAGATGTTGGTACCCAAATTTGCTTTTATAGAGCTTTTGTTTTTAAATTCCGATTGCATAGCTTTCTAGCTGTGACTGACTAGAATGGCTTTCTAATTGTGACTTTTGGCAAGCTTTTGTTTGTTTGTTTTTGAGACAAAGTCCTGCACTGTTGCCCAGGCTGGAGTGTAATGGCAAGATCTCGGCTCACTGCAACCTCCACCTCCCAGGTTCACGCAATTCTCCTGCCTCAGCCTCCCGAGTAGCTGGGATTACAGGCGCACACCACCACACCTGGGTAATTTTTTGTGTTTTTAGTAGAGATGGGGTTTCACCATGTTGGCCGTACTGGTCTCGAACTCCTGACCTCGTAATCCACCCGCCTTGTCCTCCCAAAGTGCTGAACTTACAGGCGTGAGCCACCATGCCCAGCTGACCTTGGCAGTCTTCTTAACCTGAGCCTTGGTTTCCTCTTCTGCAAAATGGTTATCACACTAATACCTCCCTCTTAGTGTTATTGTTATTATCATTATATCATGATTACCTTAACTCTTTTTTTTTTTTTTTTTTTTGGTCTTCTGTACACATAGCTTTAATCAGAGCTAACATTTCAGAAAACCCTTGAGTTTCAGTTTTTCTATGTTTCTGTGTGATTTAGAATGTTAAATATTGGCACTGACCTGTTCGTATGCAAGCCACATTGACCAGCCACCACTCAGGGATTCGCGGCAGAATCACGGCCACATGGTCTCCCCTCTGCAGGCCACAGGGCTTGGTGAGCACGTTGGCAGCTTTTCGGGACAAGGAACCCAGTTCTCTGAAGCTCCATTTTACCTCATCCCCTTTGCCATTCACCCACCACAGGGCTGGGTTAGCTGGTCTCTCCCCTGTCTGACCGGGGACACATAGGAAAGAGAGGAGTAGGTTTACATGACTGATTACTCTTACATGGGGCATCTGCTGTTTTCCCCCTTTGGCACCGGCTCTGGTGCATTCTGCTAACAGCACCCTGAGTTCGACTTTGAGGGCACTGCTCTTCTCCTATTGAACACAGCTTTGAAAAGAGAATCCCTCGGAGTGCTTTTACCCTTCCCTGAGCAGTGGGTGGGTATTTGACCAAAGTTGAGCCAATCAGACCTTCTCTCTCTGGACTTTTTGGTTTTCTGAGAGGAATCAAAAGATAGAAAATGGTTGGTACAAAACTTGTCTATGGGTTGTTAGTGCTTATGCATCCTCAGAGAACTGTCCTGGTTCCTGTCCTCATCGAGATGGGCTCTCCAGCGTCCAGCCTAATTTTGTGATCTCTCCCATAGTACTTGAATAAATTTCTTTCTTGCTTAAATTAGATTCTGTCCCATCCAAATAACCTGAATGAATCTGCTAAGTTTAATTGAGAACCAAACATCTCTTTGTACCCTAAGGCTGAGGTGTGGTTTTCACAAGTCACAAGAAGCAGGGTCGAGGGAGGCATCAATTGATTGACTTCTAGAGGAAACTTCTTCCCCTTCATTCTACAAAGTGAGTCATCTGTACTGCAAAACCTGTTTGCCTTATGTATTACTTGGAAAGAAAAAATTCCTCCCCCTTCTTTCCCGTATCTGGAGAACTTATTTTATCTTTTCTGGCTGGCAAATCCTTAAAAGCCCTGTTGACAGGTCAATTAGTCTAGGAGCTTTTCTTAGACTTCTCTTTGTTTCTCCACTGACTTCTCCGTGTTCCTTCATCGTTGTGCTCATACTCCAGACAACTCCAATTCATTATATGACAGATGTGTCTCTTTCCTATGGATGTAACCTCTGTAAAGATCAGGGACTCGGTTTATGTTCTTTTGTGTGGCCTTGGATAAGTAGCTTAGTTTCTATGAGGTCAAGTTCCTCATCTGCAAACCTCCCAGGTTGTTATGGAGATTTGGTGAAATAATATAGGTCAGTATTTCTCAATCTTTAGTCATTTAAGTATCACTGTTTCTGTCAGCTCTGTCTGCACCTGCACTATTCTTTATTTTGTATACTTCTCTACGTTGACTCACTTTTTAGGTGTATACATTTACCTAAGAAGGAATATGCATTTAATCAGCACCATTATTGGACAGTTATTACCACTTGCTAAAAAATAGGTTATTGAGAAACAAATATGCTAAGAAAAAAACTATGCCATTAAATTTTATCTAGAGATGATTAGCTTCTACCTGTGGTCTTTATTCAAGAGACTGTTTAGCAAGTGTTAGGTGCTAAAGACACAATGGTTTTCAAGGAAGGCTTTCTCCATGTATTCAACAGGAAGAATTGATTCAATGTTATTTAATACCTTGTCTGTCTAGTACCTAACATCATGTTCCCATCCATGGGGCCTGCAGTGCATTTTGATAAGCACTGCTAGGTTAAGTGTTTAGCTCAGTGCCTGGCAGGGGGTGAGGATCAGTACACAGAGAACTCATCCTGAGGCTGCACTGTAAACATTGCATAAGGGCTGCTTGCTTTATTCTTGTCAACCTCCAATTCTCTCCTAATGACTCCAATGATAACTGTATTCATAAAACCAAAACTCAATTTACTACTTTTTGGATAAGCCTGTGACCAACTTAAAAACAAAGCACTGTTGCGTGGGGCTTGGAGAAGAGAAGGAAAAGAGGCCTAACTCTGTGAGGAACCACCCTGGGGATGGGGGACAGAGAAGGCTCCAGGGCCACCCAGCCATTTGTAGCTGAGGATCTAAGATCTTCCCTGGGGAGAGGGGAGGACAATTGGAAAACAAACAATGGAAACCAAGAGGGTGAAAGAGTGCATTGGAATTAAGTGGTAGACCACAGAACAAGGAAATGGAAGACTGAGAGATAAGGGGACACCAAGCATCTACTGGAAGCCCATCATCGTATACCTTCTCCTTTTGGGCCCACTGGTCCAGCACATCCGCAGCAAAGTTAAAGTTTTCAGGCAATGGCCTGTTACAGCGATTTATGGCTTCAAAGTCAGCAAGAGTCAGAGGCGTCCAAAGCTGGCGATCTTTGTGAAAGTGCCGGCCAGGTGGCTTGGTGAGCCAGATGAATCTAAATGTCTGGTAGCGGAAAAAAATCTTCATGATTCCCAAAGGACTTTGTCTACTGCTGTGGACACAGAGTACTACAGCCTGTAGGGAGAGATGGATAGACAGTATCAGTTTCTCGATGCTCTGTGGTGAGACTGGGAGGTGGATTTGTGGCTGTGTGTCCCTGGCAAGTTGGGGAACACCTGAAAAACACCTCATCCTTCCTCAGAGCTGCTGCTGTTAGCCAATGACTGGTCTCCCTCCCACTAGACTCTTCCTCTTCACTCTGTCTGTGTTGGAACCGAACTGTCGATTCCCTCCTGGGCAGGGGTCGCCGCGAAGGATCACCGACACGAGATTCACAGCAGAGAGTTATTTATTACTAGCGCGCTAGGGTCCCAAGCTCTAAGTTGGCCCTGGGACCCCGAGTGCTTGTTACAGGCTGTTTATATAGGCAAATACAAGTTCAAACACAGCTTAGGGCGCGAAATTCAAACAAAGCTTTAGGCGCGTGGTAATTGGGTCTGTCTATGGCCTGAGCAAGGTGTCTTATGCTAATTGGTTAGAGCAGGACCTTATGAGGTTTTTTTTTCCTGGAGTTGTTGATTCCGGGAACTTCGAGGCAGGGTGGGACCCCCGGAATTGGCAGGGTGGGACCCCATGAGGTTGTTTCCCGGAATTGGCAGGGTGGGACCCTATCAGGGTGGGACCCTATTGAGGCAGGGTGGGACCCTATCCAGAGCCACCTGGTGTTAATTTTTTCTATATGAGGCCTAGTTTCTAAGTTTTATGAGGCCTAGTTTCATTCCCTCCTCTTTTTGTGTCAGAGGCTCAATCTTGAGCCTCTTTTTCAGTCCTGAGGGTCTGGTATTGTTGGGTCAGAACCATAGCATGTAATCTATTTTTAATAAGGGTGAGTAAGTGGTTGAGTATGCATGGCCTGAAAGTCAGGATGAGCGTGAGCAGGATGAGGGGTCCTAAGATGGTGGAGATTAGGGTGCTAAGCCAAGGGGATTGGTTGTACTAATTTTTAAACTAACTTTGTTGAGATTTTTTCTCTTTTTTTTTCTTGTCTAATCTTTTTTAGTTTTGCCATAGAATTTTTAACTATTCTTGAATGATCTGCATAAAAACAACATTGCTCTTTTAGGGCTGCACAGAGCCCGCCCTTTTTTTAGAAAGACAATTTCTAGTCCTTGTCGGTTTTGTAATATAATTTCAGACAGAGAAGTCAAGGACTCTTTAAGTTTTGTGATAGATTGTTCTATGGCTTTAAGGTTTTTATCTATGGCTACTTTAAGTTGTTGCAGATGATGGTTACCATGCACTAGGGCTGCTGTCCTGGTCTTAACTTCAGCCGCTACCCTAATTCTTAACATGTCGGCGAGGGTGAGGGAGATTAAGGGCGGGGAAGTGCTGGTATAAATAGAGACCTTATATTAATTTTGTTGTTATCTATCTGTTATCAGATTTTGCCGCATCTTTAAACTTGATGCGAACCAGGTTGCAATTTTCTGAATATCGGGTTGTGGTACAGGGCTGGACAAAGGGCATAGTTATATACTAAGGTTTTGTGGCTTATTTTTACTTTTTATTATTAGTAGTTACACAGGACCAGTTTTTGCAATACAAGTGAGTCAGATTTCTACAAGTTTTTTATTGGTTCTGTCTTGCATCCGGGACAGGCATAAAACCTGTTCCTGCTGATGGACATTTTTCTAGCCTGTCCTTTTTATTCTTGTCTATCCTGAGGAGTCCTTAATAGGACTCCTGTGGGACCAGTAAACTGGGGGCCTGTGTCTTTTATCTTTCCTGCTATTTTTTTTTTTTTTTTTTTTTTTTTTTAGGTTGAAATAGAGGTCTGGAAACTAAGTCTTTATAGGAGTATTCTCGGAGGTCTTATTTAAGACCTCTTGATTACTAAAATTAATTATCTGTCAGGTCAGGCTAAATGGCCGGTGGGGGGTTAGCGTCAAAAACTACACTAGAGACGGCGCAGGGAAGAAGGGCAAACAATAAGCAAGGAGTTAGATACGAGAGAGTCTTATCTTGAGCGGGTCCGCGGAGCGTCGGAGTTTCCATGTCTTAAGTGGTGTTGGTCCGGACGTCTCTGGAGCAGCCTTGGCGTGGGATGCGTGGATCTAAGTGGAGATTCCGTCAACCTTTATGGCTGTGGGTGTGGTCAGGAGAACAATGTAGGGTCTTTTCCACCGAGGCTCTAGTCCTTGAGTGCGATGCCGTCTAACGTAGACAGAGTCTCCCACCTGGAAGGGGTGACTGGTCTGTGGATGTCCTGGTTGGTACAGTTCTGCCAAGGGGGCCCAGATTTGGGCCTGTACTGCTTGGAGTCCTTTTAGCCGGGCCTGTAGGTCAGTCTTAGGATCGGAGGGGGAGAAGGAATTAAGCAAGGTTGACAAAGGGGGAGGTCCTCCGTAGAGGATTTCATATGGAGTGAGCCTAAAACGGTTAGGTGTATTCCGGGCCCTTAACAGAGCTAAGGATAGGAGGCGTCTCCAATCTTTTAAACCAGTCTCTAAGGTCAATTTAGTAAGGGTCTCTTTTATTGTTCTATTTATTCTTTTTACCTGTCCTGAGCTCTGGGGTCTATAGGCACAATGTAATTTCCAATTAATCCCCAATATCCTGGCGAGCCCCTGACTTACCTGAGAAACGAAGGCCGGCCCGTTATCTGACCTAATTACCTTGGGAAGTCCAAATCTAGGAAAGATTTCTTCCAAAATTTTCTTGGCTACTATGTGTGCCGTTTCTTGCCGGGTGGGGTAGGCTTCTACCCATCCTGAAAAGGTATCTACAAACACCAGTAAGTACTTATATCCAGCATAGTGAGGTTTTACTTCAGTGAAGTCTATTTCCCAATAGACTCCTGGGCGGTTATCACGAGTTCGTTTCCTTTCTGGCACTCGGGTAGCCCCAGCGTTTACCTGCTGACAGACCTTACAGGCAGATGTCACTTGTTCTACGAGGGTACTTGTCTTTGGGATTAGAAAGTCAGTTTTTTTAATCAGTAATTTTAGCTTTCAATTACTCAAGTGTGTCCAGGCATGCATCTGCTGGATCATTGCCAGGGCCTCCTTGGTCAGCATTGGGGGTTCGTCAGTGCTGCCAGCAGTTATGCCCCCAGGATTTTTCTCTTGGCCCAGCCGTGGGGGCTGAGCCTCTTCAGGGACCCCTTCTGGGGGTCCGGCAGGTGACACAGGGCGGCTGGGCTGGGGGCTGCCCTCAGGACTGGGCTCTGTGCCTTTTTGCAGGGAACTTTCCGAATGGAAACTCTGGTTGCTGTTCTCATCATTGAGATCAGCAGGATGAGAGGGCCACCCCCTCGGGGACTGGCGCCCCTGCCCCGACGTTCCCGGCCACGGGATCTCTTTGCCCCGCCACCTGCCCACCTTCACTCCTCCTCCTGGGGGTCCACCACTGGTACTCACTTGAAGATACGAAGGGAAGTGTCGCCTACAGTCACTCATTGCTTCTTCTATTTCCGGACTTTCTCGATGGTCGCCATTACCTTCTTGATGTTATCTTCGGCCCAGCTCCGGGTCTCGGCCCGTACGGTCCGGCCGGCCATGCTGGCGGGGCTGGGGCCGGAGCCGAGCCCGCGGCGGGGCCGCCTCCTGTCTGGCGGGCTCAGGCTTGGCGCCAGGCCTGGGCGCCACACTCTCGGCCTGCCGTCCCCCCAGGAGTTGGCCGTGCCCTCTTTCGTCCTTAACGCCTCCGCGAGTCCCCTGTTCTTTGCAGTAGGCACACTGGTCTTTTTCCACTTTTGGCCGCCTCCGCTTCTTTCCCTCTCTCCCTGGTCCTTTCTTTCTCACAACTGCCGCCAGGATTTTTGTTAAATGCTTATCCTTTACTCGGTTCTTACGATCCTCTCGCTCTATCTGTTCCTTCGCTAACCTGGCTTCCCTTTCCTTAGGGGTTTCTTTCTTATCTTGGCCAAATTTGTGGGGCGTTTTCCTGCCCCTTTGAGACCCGCCAACAGAGCCTGGCGATAGATTCGGAGACTCTCCCTACCTGGTGCCATTTCATAGTCCTAGTCCGGGCGGGTGAGGGGAAATCCCTCGTCTATTTTATTGGGAAGTTGGGTTGGGAGGCCTCCTGGTCCTGGCACATTTTTCCGGGCCTCCAAGAGGACTTGCTGCCTTTTTCAGTGGTTAAGAGGACCTGCAGGAGTTGCTGGCAATTATCCTAGGTGGGCTGGTGGGTGAGGAGAATGGATTCTATTAACGAGGTTAGGGCCTGAGAGTCTTGGGAAAAGGAAGGGTTATGGGTCTTCCAGTTATAGAGGTCAGAGGCAGAGAAGGGCCAGTACTGGACTGTGTGACTGACAGTACGGAGGGGAAAAAGGGAGGATTGCTAAGTGGAAGGGCCTTCTGGGTCCTCAGTCCGCCGCAAGCGGAGACGAGGAGGTGTCGGCGGCGGCGTCCGAGGGGTGAGTTTGGGCGGGGCTGGAGGAGGAGACGGGGTGGAGGGAGGGGCCGAGGGAGAAGTTGGAGAAAGGGTAGGGGTCGAGGCGGTAGAGGAAAGAGCTGGGGACAAGACGGGGGCAAGGATGAAGCGTAAGGTGGAGGTCCCCGAAGGGGGTTTTGAAGTGGAGGAGGCAGGGGGTCGAGAAGGAGGAGGTCCCTCTGGGGTTCATCTGGGAGGACTGGCTTATGCGGGTCCGGATTCCGATTCTTTGGGGCTTCTAAGGCAAGGAGGGTAGATTGGGATGGGGAAGGGGAATGGAGGAAGGGTTTCACCCAAGAGGGAGGGTTTCGGACCAGATCCTCCCAAGTAATTATGTAGGCCACCTGGTCTGGGTGTCCGTGTGGCCCAGGAGCCATCACTGTTGCTTTAACCTGTAAGATAATTGGGAGGTCAAATGTTTCGTCCCGGGGCCACCTAACATGGAGGGTAGGCCACTCGGACGAGCAGAATTTTCGCCATCGTCCCTTACGGACTTCTATGGAGAGGTTGTGGGCTCGAGCCCGAACGTCAGGGAAGTGAGTCAGGGTCAGAGACAAAGGAGTCGTCAACGTCTGTCTTATTTCGTCCACGTATAACAAGGACAAAACAAAAGTAACAAAAACAAAGACCAGACAAGTAAGGAGAAGCCAC